TTGCAACTTAACTTCGCATGTTTTCTCGATTTTCTCATTACCGATCATTTTGTCCTCCAAAGGCTTTATTACTACGGTGATGCGTCTGTGAACACGAAAAATTACTGAAACGAAAGAGACAAGAAACGACGTGCACAAACAAATATTATGTATTTGATGATTTTGGGTTACAATCTCTCTCTATCTTGATCCTCTGATTCGATCTCCGTAAGGTGTGTATTTGTGGGTGTATGATTGATCCAAAGGGCCGTTGGGCTTGATCTAAGGATGAACGTTTCTTCAAGGGCTGTGGACTTGATCTTGAAGGTGGATTTGGGCGGATCTTCAAAGGGGCTTTTGGGCTTGATCTTTGAAGAACAGTGATGAACGGATCTCCGAGGGCTTTTGGGCTTGATCTTGAAGAACAGTGATGAACGGGTCTTCAAGGGCTTTTGGGCTTGATCTTGAAGAACGGTTGGATGTATGGATTTGTCGACGTTTGTTGATCCAAAGGGCCGTTGGGGCTTGATCTTGGATGAACGGATGATGAACGATGGTGCTTTCTTCAAGGGTCGTCGGGGCTTGATCTTGAATTGGTGGATGGTTGATCCAATGGCCGTCGGGGCTTGATCTTGGAAGAACGAAGAACACTTTCTTCAAGGGCCGTCGGGGCTTGATCTTGAATTGGATTGATTTGTTGATCCAAAGGGCCGTTGGGGCTTGATCTTGGAAGAACGATGAACGAAGAACACTTTCTTCAAGGGCCGTCGGGGCTTGATCTTGGAAGAACGATGAACAAAGAACGAAGAAGGCTTTCTTGATTCTTCGGGAACCTGGATGCTTGAGAGCTTCGGAGTTTCAGAGCTTCAGAGCTTCAAGGTGTAATATGAATTGGTCCCTTAAATGAATGAATTAGCCTTCTATTTATAGAATTTTCCAAGGCCTAATTTTGAATATAATATTCCAGATGAAATAAGTCGTTTCTGCCAGGTGTTGACACGTGTCCTATTTGATGACTTTTCCAACTCATTTCAATTTTTGTTGAGTCACACGCTACGTGTAAAATTTATGTAATACATGAGCGTTGAAACTTTGATTTATCGGTCAACATTTATTTACCGAAAATTCGATGTCTACAAATGCCCCCACTTCAAGGCGCGTCGTATACATGTGCTTGTCACGTGTAGGAGATGCGTTTTGAAATCCCTTACTGTAGATGTCGATCCAAGGGCCATCGAGGCTTGATCTTGAATTGGGCTGGAGATTTCTTCAAAGGCCGTTGAGGCTTGATCTTGAATTGGTCTTGAGATTGGACCACAAGGAGTTTCATGTGGTAGATGATCCTTGGCTTTGGTAGCGGATGAATCGGCACGTATTTTGTCACACTTGTTGACTTTCCACAGCTTTGATCTTGAACTGGATTGGAGGACTTTCTGGATTCCTCCAATTGTTGACTTTCCACAGCTTATTCTTGAACTGGGTTGGAGGATTTTCTAGTTTCCTCCAATTGTTGACTTTCCACAGCTTATTCTTGAACTGGATTTGATTCAAGGGTGGTAGACACTTGATCTTGAATCGAACTTGTGATTTCTTCCAGGGCCGTCGAGGCTTGATTTTGAATTTGGCTGGAAGCTTCTTCAAGGGCCGTTGAGGCTTGATTCTTGAAGGCTGACTCGAACACACGGCAAGCAGGCACGAGGTGAAGGTGACGACTTGTTGCTTTGTTCAATCTTTCTAATTCACACCTGAGTAGTTTGGTCAATGGTATGATCTCCGAGATTGATGGGCTCCTCTTCCAATTGGTGACTTGGTCTTTAAGGATTTGATTCAAGGGTGGTGAATCGGCACGTGCAGCCCACAACGCCTAGTAAGTCGACCCAAGAATTTGAGGGTCAAAACGAGTTCACCGTCCTCAGGCAGATGCGGCATCTTCTCGAGTTCTTCATCTCAGACTCTTTCTGCTGAGTTGACTGTGCATGTTGCATTCTTCTCTGCTTGTTTCTTTAGGCAGATGTGGCAGCTTCTCGAGTTCCTCAGTTCGGACTCCTTCTGCTGAGTTGATCGTGCAGACCGCATTCTTCTCTGCTTGTTCCTTCTGCACCTTGTCTCCACATGCTGCAAGGTATCATTTTCACTTGCCTTATCTGCCCTCCAAGCAGATGTGGCAGCTTCTTTGAAAGTACAGCAGTAGTGGAAGGTGAGTACTCGAGAGCAGTGCTAGGTAGGCAATCAGGGAAGGGTTCCAAGCAGTCGGTTCCTTACCCGAGTTTGAGTGGAAGTTCCGGCATATTGTTTTCTTTATCCTTGTCTTTGTAGGTAGGAACAAGGACAAAGGAAATGACAGGAAGAGTGCATGATATGAGATACTCTTGCTTTCTACCCTGGTGATATGAGATACTTTTGCTTTGGAGTCATTGGCTTGCAGAGGTACTCCAAGGAATAAGGAACACTGAATGACTCGAGAGGTTTCGTTGGGAAAACATTTTTTTGAGATGAAGAGAGGCTCTGTGTGTCTGCCTTGCTATGGAAAGCGAAGGTAGACAATTATAGAAAGTTCTTTGATATCTGTAGAGGTACTATTATTTCACTCGTGTCGGCAACCGATGCGTGATTGATCTATATGGCTTCACGTGCTTGTTTCTTTATCAGAAATCTTCGACAAATTGTCCGTAATTTCCGCCAAGCTGAGTGTGCATGTGACAGGTGTTGACGCGGCTGAAAAAGACTGGCGCCTCTTCGATAACTGGGATCGGCGCTTCGACAAATTACCCGTGATTTCCGCAGAGCTGAGTTTGCGTGTGATGGGTGCTGACGTGGCTGAAAAAGACTGGCGCCTCTTCGATATCTGGGATCGGCGCTTTGACAAATTGCCCGTGATTTTCGCAAAGCTGAGTTTACGTGTGACGGGTGCCGACGTGTCTGAAAAAGACTGACGCCTCTTCGATACCTGGGATTGGCGCTTTTAACAAGTTGCCCGTGATTTCCGCAAAGCTGAGCTTGCTTGTGACGGGTGCTAACGCGTCTGGAAAAGCAAGATGCTTCTCCGATTTCTGAGATTGCCTCTTCGATTTTTGAATCGGCATTTTCGAACTTTGAGCTCACCTATTCGATCTCTGAAATCCCGTCAAGTGCTGATTTTTTATAGAGGCACGCAGTTCGTTTCAAAGCACACTTGAATTTTCGCTTGTAGAAACTCCCTTCTTGCACTTCTAAGATCTTGATTTGTCCGACCTCTTCTTTCTTCAACACCTTTGAAAATGTCTGGACCCTCTGATCGTCGTTTTGATTTGAACCTTGATGAAGAGGTAGTCCCGTCTTCTCCAGATAACATATGGCGCCCATCCTTCATATCCCCTACTGGTCCTCTTACCGTTGGGGATTCGGTGATGAAGAATGATATGACCGCTGCGGTGGTGGCCCGGAACCTTGTCACCCCCAAAGATAACAGACTACTTTCCAGGCGGTCTGATGAGTTGGCTGTTAAGGAGTCTCTGGCTCTTAGTGTGCAGTGCGCGGGTTCTGTGTCTAACATGGCCCAACGCCTATTTGCTCGAACCCGTCAAGTTGAATCGTTGGCGGCTGAAGTGATGAGTCTCAAACAGGAGATTAGGGGGCTCAAGCATGAGAATAAACAGTTGCACAAGCTCGCACACAACTATGCCACAAACATGAAGAGGAAGATTGACCAGATGCAGGAATCTGATGGTCAGATTTTACTTGATCATCGGAGGTTTGTGGGTTTGTTCCAACAACATTTACCATCGTCTTCTGGGGCTGTACCGCGTAGTGAAGCTCCGAATGATCAACCTTTGGCTGCTCTTCTTCCTGGAGTTCCGCCGAGTGGTGAGGCTTCAAACAATCAACCTCCAGCGCTTCTCATTTCTGGAGCTCTACCGAGTGGTGAGGTGACACCTGATCGTCCTTGAAGATCCCCTCTTGTAAATTTGATTTTTTTTTTTTTTTTTTTTTTTTTTTGGTATGTACAATGCAAATTTATGTAAAAATTTCCAGAAAGAAATAAATAAAAACGGACTTTATTTCTCTCGATGCATTTTTTTTTTTTTTTTGCTATATACATACATATATTATGTACATACATGTATATGTATATTTACATGGTGCAATCCGCACCATCCCACCTTCCTACTTGCTTTCCCTTTTTTTATTCTTTAATTTTTTTATTTTTAGGTATGGTGCCAGATCAATCCAGATTTCCTTTTTCTTTTTTTTTTATTTTTTTTATTATACTTTCCTGCGGTGCCAGAGGCACCATTCCTTCTCCTTTATATATATATATATATATATATATATATATATATTTTTTTTCTTCGGTGGTACTCACACATGGTGCCATGATGAATCAAGATTCCGTTTTTTTTTTTCACATGGTGCCAGAGCACCAAAGACTCCACCATCCCTTCTTTATTCACGTGGTGCCAGACGCACCACCACCCTTTTTTTTTCTGTATAAATTAGGATGGTGGGTAGAGGAATTTGTAGGGAGCGGACGAAGACGGACGGAGAGCTGGAGTTTGAGGAAGCGCTTCTCGGCCGGCTAGTCGTTTGACAGCGGTCTTTGAAGTTGTTGGCAGCTGCGAGGCAAGAGACGGAGGAGGGTGCAAGAGAATAGCGGTGCAGCCTTGAGGTCGGAGACTTTGCCGTCGCCGTTGCTGCAGAGATGGTGATGAAAAGTCCTGCTCGCGACTACCGCAGCTGTTGTGACGATGGTTGCCGGTCGTGGCAGAGCTGGAGTTGTAGGCAGCGGCGCAGTGGTGAGGAGAACAGAGGAGGACGTCGCCGCCGCCAACGAAAACCACCAAGTGTTCATAGCCTTAACACTTGTTCCTTCGCTGCAACTTTAGGCTTCGCCGGAGCTGCTGCTTTCTTCTTCTCATCTCCTTTGAGAGTCTGACCAAAGCTAGAAGCAGCCGCGGAAGGTTTTGACGAAATGGAGCTCCTTTTGATTTTCCAGATATATTTTCTTCTGTTTGCTATCTTAAGTACAAATTGGACTCTTTTGTTCTTAAAAACAATCATATCCCAATTGGTCTTTCAATGAATAAATCTTCACGGTCCTCTTTTCTTTCGAAAGCAAAAACAGCCCTGAGACTGATCTTGAGGGATCATACCTCCGCCTTTCGATGTGTCGATCGCCTTCAACATTGTGACTACCTCATCCATCTCAGGCCGCTTGTCTGGGTTCGCGTCCCAGCATCGCTTCATTACGTTTGCAAGCGCATTTGGACAACATCTTGGTATCTCCGGTCTCAAATTCTGGCGAACCACAGCTGAAGTCACTTCCGAGAAACTAAGGTCAGGATATGGCATATCACAGCAATATATTTCCCATAAACAGATGCCGAAACTGTACATATCACATTTCCTGTTATACGGGTTGCCATTGAGGACCTCAGGAGCCATGTAACCTAGTGTGCCAGTCTCCCCAGTCATGTCATTGGGATTTGAAGCTTCAACACGAGCAACACCAAAATCAGCAATCTTGACCGCACGAGTCTTGTCCAGAAGCATGTTCTCTGTCTTTACATCTCTGTGGACAATCTTCTGTGAGTGTAGGTAGCTCAACCCTCTAGCAAGATCTAGTGCCAGCTGGACAACGACTTTAAAAGCTAACTTCCTTCTCCTATTCTTTATGAGGTACGATTTTAGAGCACCCCCAGGAAGATATTCTACAACGACACAACAGATATTTGTTGGCATGCCAATTTGACCATTTTCTGTCTGTATTTGTAGATCTGATGAACCCATTGTCGCCCCAATAAACTTAGTAACATTAGGATGATCTAGTTTATGCCAGACAGCAACTTCTTGAGTAAAAGCTGCCCTTAGAGAAGCAATCTCGGAGTCTGTCATGTGACCCTCTTCGCCCCAGTCAAGCAATTTAACGGCGACATCTTGACCGTCGTAGATGCCACAGTGGACGGTGCCGAAGGTGCCACGAGCAATGACAGACTTGATGAGGAGCTTGGAGGGGTCGATCTCCCACTCCTGGCGGTGGCGCCTGGGGATGGAGAGGGTCATGGAGGAAGTGGAGGTGGTGGTCGGTGTCGCGATCGGAGAGGGAGACGTAGGTGGAGTTGAGGGAGTCGGAGAGCTGGACGTAGAAGCCCTGGTTTGGACGAGAGGTCAGAGCCGGCGAGGGCGGGGACTACGCCGATGACTTGGAGGAGGGCAGAGCGGTGGTCGCCGGTGACTTTGGTGGATGCGAGCCAAGCTGGGTCGGGTCGGACATAGCAGAAGGAGTGGCCGAGTCCTTCGTCGTATTGGTTCGATTCTAAAACTGACTCGTCGTGTCTGCCGTGACGGCGGCCTTCCTTGACGCCGGTGAAGCACCCGCTCACTTTCCCGAAGCTGTTCTCCATAATCCGATCGAACCCAAATCAAAAAATTAAAAATTGAAGTGAAAGATTATCGAGTTTTAGCTTTTTGGTTTAGCTCTCATGGCCGATTGAGAGAGAGAGAGAGAGATGGGACTGGGATTTTGGTTTCTTCTTCTTGGAGCTGGATTTAGATAATAGGTTTGGGCTTGGACAACCTCCTTTTGATGGGCTTATTGCTGCTAGATAGAGGGCATACATACATATATATAGCATCAAAACTTTTAATTGTACAAAGAAATTGTACAAAGAAATTGTAATAGCATCAAAACTTTTAATTAAATCTTTATTCCTTATTTTGGTGTGACTGAACTCAAATTTTGAATATTCGAGCTGCCTACGTACCCCTCCAAAGAAGAGATCAAGTCGTAACGTAGTTCAAATACATACATATTTTTTGGTATTTTCTTTTTGTGCCGTTTGCAGTTTTAACTCATGCAGGCAATGAGTGTTGGTGTCGTTTGCAGTTTCAACTCGTACAGACAAGGAGCATTTGGTGCCGTATTGCAGTTTCAGCTCGTGCAAGCAAGGAGCGTTTAGTGCCGTATTGTAGTTTCAGCTCGTGCAAGCAAGGAGCGTTGTGCCATGCAGTTTAGGCTCGTGCAGGCGAGGAACTTCGGTTCGTGCAGTTTAGGCTCGTGCGAACAAGGAGCAGGAGCTTGTTGCTTTTCAGGGGTAGTAGCACTTCAAGAATCTGCCATTGATAGGGCCGATCTTCAAGCCGTCCTCCGCCATGATTAAGTAGGCGCCATTGGTGTAGACTTCTTGTACTACGTATGGTCCATCCCATTTTGACGTGAACTTGCTCTTTGTCTTGTGAGTTGTGATGATAGGCCTACGCAATGAAAGGACGAGATCTCCCATTTGAAAAGACCGAGGGAGAACTTTCTTGTTGAAGGCTTTAGAAAGTCGCGCTTGATAACACTCCAGGTGTTGCTGGGCTTCGAGTCTTTTCTCATCCAGTGCCTCCAGTTCTTGAAGACGTAGCTTTGTATTCTCTTCATCAGTCAAGCCTTCTTGTATAGCCATCCTTAGCGAGGGGATTTGACTTTCGAGTGGTAGAACAGCTTCTACGCCATATACAAGAGAATAAGGTGTGGCTTGGGTAGGCGTTCTATATGTTGTCATGTATGCCCATAGGGCTTCGCCTATTCTTTCATGCCAGTCTTTCTTTGTTCTACCGATTACCTTCTTCAGGAGGTTGCACAATGTCTTGTTGAATGCTTCTGCAAGACCGTTGGCCGGAGCATGATACATGGAGGATTTGCGCTGCTTGAACTTGTACTTCTCGCAGAGCTCGTCCATGAGTCGGTTTGAGAACTGCTTTCCGTTGTCGGTGACAATGTAGCGAGGCACCCCATATCGATGGATGATATATCCCTTGATGAAACGGACGACAGTTTCCTTCTTAACTTCCTTCAGGGGTATGGCCTCAGCCCACTTAGAGAAGTAATCTGTTGCAGCCAGGATGTAAGCCTCCCCTGTAGATGACTTTGGCGCAATTGGTCCTACGACATCCAATCCCCATGCATCGAACGGCCATGAAGTAGCTGTGGGGTGTAATGGTTCAGGCGGTTGGTGTATGAAGTTGGCATGAAATTGGCAGGCTTGGCACCTTTTGGCGTATTCTAAGCAGTCCTTTACCATGCTTGGCCAGTAATAACCCATTCTTTTGAGCTGGAAATGAAGCTTTGGTCCGGACTGGTGCGCTCCACATATTCCTGAGTGTGCTTCTTCCATGGCTTGATTGGCTTCTTCCTCGCCTAGGCATCTCAAAAGTACCCCTTCAAAAGATCGCCGGTAGAGTGTCCCTTTGTAATAGAGGAAGCAATGTGCTCGTCGACGTACTTCAGAGCGGTGTTTCGGATCATCTGGAAGCATCCCATGCTCCAAGTAGTTGATCAGAGGCTGTCTCCATTCTTCAACGTTGACCGGAAGTATTGAAATAACGTTTGTATCACTTAGTACTATTTCAGTGACAAGTGGGATTACCCATCTTTGGCAGACTGGCATGTTTGTAGCTTCGTCTTCTCCTAATGTCATGCTCGAGGCTAGGTTGGCGAGAGCGTCTGCCATTTGATTCTCTTTTCTTGGCACGTGTTCTAGTGTTACGGCCTCAAACCTTTGTAGCAACTGCGTTGCCAGCCGGAAGTATGGGACAAGGTCGTCTTTTCTCACCTCATATTCCGTCAGGAGTTGATTGATTATGAGCTTGGAGTCGCCGTATATCTCAAGGGCTGCGATTTCCATGTTGATTGCCATTTGGAGTCCGAGGATCAGCGCTTGGTACTCAGCGACGTTGTTGGTGCATAGTTCGCTTAGCTGGAATGAATAAGGTAGTACTTGCCTTCGTGGCGACATGAATACTACTCCTGCCCCCGCTCCGTCTGCTCGTGCAGATCCATCAAAGAACATCGTCCATGTCGAGAATATGTCGATGCAGAACACTTCTTCGTCGGGCAGGTCGTCTGCGATTTTCCAATCGGCTGGGATTGGATGGTCGGCAAGGAAGTCTGCTAGCGCTTGTCCTTTGACGGCTTTAGCTGGGACGTAGATGATCTCGTATTGATTGAGAAGTAATGCCCATTTAGCTAGTCGCCCTGTCAAAACTGGCTTAGACATGACGTATTTGATCGGGTCAGCTTTAGCAACCAAGTGGATGGTGTAAGCATGCATGTAATGTCTGAGCTTCTGGATGGCAAACATCAAGGACAGGCACATTTTTTCTATTGGGGAGTAGTTCAATTCAGCGCCGGTAAGCGTTCGGCTGAGGTAGTAGAGCGCTCCTTCTTTCTGGGCCTCGTTTTCCTGTGCCAAGAGTGCTCCAACTGAACTTTCCTGAGCAGCAATGTACAATATGAGCGGTTTCCCTGGTACAGGTGCCCCCAGGACAGGTGGACTTGATAAATACTTCTTTATACTTTCAAAAGCGTTGTTGCATGCTTTGTCCCATACAAACAGAACATCTTTCTTCATGAGTCGACTGAACGGTTGACAACGCCCTGCAAGGTTGGAGATGAAGCGTCTGATGAAGGCTAGCCGACCTTGTAGACTTTTCAACTCGTGCAGGTTTCTTGGCTCGGGCATGCTATGAATGGCCTTGATCGTTGATTGGTCTACTTCAATGCCCCGATGCTTGACAATGAAGCCAAGGAACTTTCCAGATGTGACGCCAAATGCACATTTTAACGGGTTCATCTTGAGGTTGTATTTTCGCAACCTTTCGAACACTACTCGCAAATCCTTCAAGTGATTTGATCTTTTCTTTGTCTTGACCACCACATCGTCCACATAACATTCTACGTTCTTGTGTAGCATGTCATTGAAGATCTTCTGCATCGCGCGTTGATATGTAGCTCCAGCATTCTTCAGACCAAAGGGCATCACCTTAGCAGTAAATACCTTTCGGAATGCGGAAGGCTGTTAGTTCCTCATCTTCAAGAGCCATGCGAATTTGATTGTATCCAGAAGAGCCGTCCATGAATGACAGTGCCTCATGGCCAGTGGTTGCGTCCACCATGATTTCGATGATTGGCAAGGGGAAGTCATCCTTTGGGCAAGCATTATTGAGGTCTCGGAAGTCCACGCAGACACGTATTTGTCCAGATTTTTTAAGGACTATGACGATGTTGGAGATCCACTTGGGGTATTGCACCTCTCGAATGAAGCCTGCTTCGATCAACTTGTCGATCTCGGCCTCAATTTGTGGGATGAGCTCGGATCGATAGCGTCTTTGAGTTTGCTTTATTGGTCGCGTTCCAGGCTTGACTGCAAGATGATGCACCGCAATGATAGGGTCGAGGCCGGGCATTTCCTTGTAGGTCCAAGCAAAGACGTCCTTGTACTCTAATAGCAGCTGGTAATACTTCTCTATCTCGTCCGCACCTAATAATGCACTCACGAAGATGGGCTTCGGTTCCTCACTTGTGCCTAAGTTGAGTTCTTTGAGATCGTCAACCGTGGCTTGCCCCCCATCTTCGAGTTGTGACGGTGCCGCCATGACATCTTCCTCGAGGATTTCTTCTTCACCTTCTTGGATTGTGATGTGGAAGACGTCTTGGGCTTCTTCTTCTTTGGTGTTATCCTCTCGAGCTAGTTGGCATGAAGATTGTCCAGTGCGAATGATGGTGCGCCTTTTCACTTTCAGTGATCCGACTGTGTTAACCTCCAAAATTGCTTGGCGCTTCATTCTTGAAGGAATGGAACTTCGGACGTCATCCTTTTCCGCCAGGCGATCGATCTCTTCTGCTTCTGGTGTCGTCTTTCTCCTTTTGGAAGGCTCTTTGGCTTCTCCAAGTCTTTCCATAACTGACTGTCGTGGAGGGGAGCTAGTCTTATTGCTTTGCTTTTTAGGTTTCGATAACCTTTTAAAACAGAGCCTCGAGATGCTGACGTTTTGAGCCTTTTGAAGACGGAAGTTTTGTTTTGACCGCTCATGAGTTTAGGTGCCGAAACTCTGGCATTTGAACAGTTCATTCTATCGAATACTGATGTCCGGGGGGCAGGTTGAGGCTCCTCTTTATCTTGTATAATGCTTACGCTGATGTGTTGAGCGCTAGCATTTTTTGCCTTGCTGGAGATCTTCACCGGTGCATTTGGTGTGAAGCCAAGTCCAGCTTTGTTGTTGCTAACCCCGTAACCATGCTTCTCCAACTTCTTCTGAGTTTTAGTGAGATCACGTTCGTTGTCTTTGACGGTGTTCAAATCATTCTTTCCCAAATTTGCAGAGGAGGTGAAGTTATACCCAGCTTTCGACATAAGTTTGTAGGCGTTTGGATCAAAACCTTCTTCGGTCCTTTTGGTTGGGAGAAAGCTTGGTTCTACCCCCTTTGGCAGGCCTTTTATGAAGCCATGTGATGGTTTTGCAACCTTGGTGTCGCCTAGCTGCGTCAGAGGCAAGACTGCATTCGTTTTGAGCAACTTTACATTATCTATGTGCCGCCGTGCATCGGCTTTGCTCGCTGCAGTTTCAAACGGGGATTGACCATTCTTTCTTCTCGACGTCGGGATGTACCGGAAGACGGGTACGCTTGGTCCATTTGAGGTCGTCCTACTTCCTCTGGTCGTTGCAGGTTTAGAAAGCTCATCGTCGTTTTTGCTTGAAGATGGCATAGCTTCTTCTTCTTCTTTCTTCTTGGGCATAGCCTGCCACTCTTGTTTTTTAGGCGCTGCTTTGCTCATGGATTTAATCTCTTTTGGAAGAGTTTTGGGCACCGTGTCTTCATTCATGTAGAACTTGGCGTCTGCGAAATGTGATTCGGCTTCGGTGAATGGCTTGGTGTCGCCATAGATCACCTTCACTCGTTCTTGGTAAAATTTTAAACATTGGTGAAGGGTGGACGGTACCACTCCGTTCGCATGGATCCAAGGCCTTCCTAAGAGCAGACCGTAGGAAGTTCTTGCATCAATCACGTGGAACATCACGCTTGACTTGAGTTCACCAATGGTCATCTCCACTCGGATCATGCCCATCGCTCTTTGTCCTCCTTGGTTAAAACCTTGGATTAGTAGACGGCTTAGGGATAGTTCATCCACCTTGATGCCGATTGCGGTCATTGTTGACTTTGGCATGATATTTATGGCTGACCCGCCGTCCACAAGCATACGGCTGACTTTATGCTCCCTTACGTACCCAGAGACGAAGAGAGGTCGGTTGTGAGGCTTGGATCCTAGCAACAAGTCTTCGTCGGCGAAGTGGATTGTGTCCTCGGTGGCACAGCATGTGGCACACTCGTGTGGCCGAGGCCTCAAGCCTTCGTTCTTGCTTTCTTGCACGTCGTGGTCGTTTGGACTCGCTAAAACCGTTGCCAATGCCCTTCGTATCTTCTTTGGCAATTGTAGTGCTTCCTCGATGCTAAAGTGTATTGGCGAACCTTCTTCAGGTGTCGGAGTATTTTCTCCCTCAGCGGCGACAATTTTGCCCTTTGAGGGTTCTTCCATTTTTACTTCGACCACGTGACATGCGGTGATAGTGCAATGTTGGAAAAAGTCCTCCGGGAAGTACTCGTGCAATGAGACGGGAATGCGTGGCTTTTGCTCCGCAGGTTCCCCAACATATATTGGCTTAGCAGCTCTTATGTTTCTCTTAGGCTTCCTATTGCCGCGACGGCGGTGCTTTCTCCCTTGTTCCCCCTTTTGCTTTATAGCTTGCAGTTTTGGTTTCCTCGTCCTCTTATAGGTCACCAATGTCCATCCTTTGTCATCGTCAGTAAGTACGTCCTGGTTGCTTGCCCCCAGTGACGGTGGTGCAGAATGTGCAGTGTGGTTTGAGTATTGCCGAGCATGGTCAGGCATTTCTTGAAGAAACACGGGATCAAAGGATCTGAACACGACCGTAGTGGTGTGCGTCGCAGCTGTGTCTTCTAGGTCGAGCTCAATCAGTCCTTGTTGTGCCAACTTCATGATGAGTTCTTTTAGGATGAAACACTTGCCCACATGATGACCCACGATATGATGGTACTTGCAGTACTTGGGATCATTGATGCGATTCATTTCTTCAGGGCGTTGGAATTCAGGTAACTCAATCACCTTCTTCTCCAGTAGGTCGTCCAGCATTGCGTCCATGTCGGAGTCCGGAAAAAGGTATACCTTCTGCTTCAATTCCCTCAAGGTGTTTTTGTACCTATCTTGGGTGTGGGAAGGCTCACCTTTTTTTATCTCCCTTGCTTTATTGAAAGAGATTTTGACAGGCGCGGACGAGGTCTTGATATGGGTGGTATTGGTGGTAAAAGCTTCCTTGGCGGGCTTTTTCCCATGATTGTCTGCTCTTGAAGTGAACACCTTATCCCTTTTGAAATCGGTGATTGGCTCCTTCTTTCCATGGTGGGCGAGGCTCAACTCCATGTCGTGGGCACGGGTGGCTAATTCTTCAAAAGTTCGTGGTTTGATACCTTGAAGGATGTATTGTAAACCCCATTGCATGCCCTGGATGCACATCTCGATTGAAGAAATCTCGAAGAGTCTGTCCTTACAGTCGAGGCTTAGATTACGCCATCGGTTGATGTAGTCCATGACTGGCTCGTCCTTCCACTGCTTTGTGCTTGTTAGCTCTAGTATGCTCACAGTGCGGCGGGTGCTGTAGAAGCGATTGAGGAATTCCCGCTCCAGTTGCTCCCAACTGTTGATGGACTCCGGCTCCAGATCCGTGTACCACTCAAAGGCGTTTCCTTTCAGCGAGCGCACAAACTGCTTGGCGAGGTAGTCCTCTTCGGTTCCTGCGTTGTTGCAAGTTTCAACGAAGTGGGCGACGTGCTGTTTCGGGTTTCCCTTTCCATCAAATTGCATGAACTTTGGTGGTTGATAACCCCTCGGCATCCTTAAGGCGTCGATCTTCTTTGAATATGGCTTTGAATACAACCCGGATGTATATGAGCTCCCTTCGTACTGTGCCTTGATGGTGTTGGTGATCATCTCTTGCAGCTGCTGGATAGAAAGGGATCCCATGAGTGCCGCTGCTTGGTCTGGTTTCGGCTTCCCATCGATTTTCTTCACCGGGGGTTCTTCGTCTCCGCCAGCTCCTCCCTTTAGCGGATCATCCTCTGGGTCGGGTTTCTCACTGTCCTGCGCCTCCAGTCGGTTGACTAATGCCGCGATTTGCAAGTCTTTTTCTTCCACAGTTCGAGTTAGTCTTGCGATTGCTTCATTCATTTGAGCAAGCTGTTCCTCGACTGAAGTTGCTCCAGCGGTCATGACTTGCATGGCTGAACTGCCGCTTGAATCGTCATCGGAGAGCATGGATTCGAAGTATTCCCTTGGTCTTTCCCCCCTTGGTGCCCTTAGTGAGGCTAAAGTGATCACAGGCTCATGCCTAGGGTACTCTCGTTCCCCTGGCAGAGTTGATGCAGAGGTGAAAGAGGTGGCAGAAGTAGCTTTTGCTTTGCTTCGAGTCGTGACACCCAACGTGACACCACTTGCGACGAGGGCGCCTTTGTTCTTTGCGCCGGTTATGGGAACAGCTTGAGCCTTCCTTGACGTCATTGATTTTGGAAGTGTGCTTATATTCCTTGAACGGAGGAAGAGATGAGAGGTAAAGACGTCCCACTGGGCGTGCCAATTTGTGAACACGAAAAATTCCTGAAACGAAAGAGACAAGAAACGACGTGCACAAACAAATATTATGTATTTGATGATTTTGGGTTACAATCTCTCTCTATCTTGATCCTCTGATTCGATCTCCGTAAGGTGTGTATTTGTGGGTGTATGATTGATCCAAAGGGCCGTTGGGCTTGATCTAAGGATGAACGTTTCTTCAAGGGCTGTGGACTTGATCTTGAAGGTGGATTTGGGCGGATCTTCAAAGGGACTTTTGGGCTTGATCTTTGAAGAACAGTGATGAACGGATCTCCGAGGGCTTTTGGGCTTGATCTTGAAGAACAGTGATGAACGGGTCTTCAAGGGCTTTTGGGCTTGATCTTGAAGAGCGGTTGGATGTATGGATTTGTCGACGTTCGTTGATCCAAAGGGCCGTTGGGGCTTGATCTTGGATGAACGGATGATGAACGATGGTGCTTTCTTCAAGGGCCGTCGGGGCTTGATCTTGAATTGGTGGATGGTTGATCCAATAGCCGTCGGGGCTTGATCTTGGAAGAACGATGAACGAAGAATGAAGAACACTTTCTTCAAGGGCCGTCGGGGCTTGATCTTGAATTGGTGGATGATTGTTGATCCAAAGGGCCGTTGGGGCTTGATCTTGGAAGAACGATGAACGAAGAACACTTTCTTCAAGGGCCGTCGGGGCTTGATCTTGGAAGAACGATGAACGAAGAACGAAGAAGGCTTTCTTGATTCTTCGGGAACCTGGATGCTTGAGAGCTTCGGAGTTTCAGAGCTTCAGAGCTTCAAGGTGTAATATGAATTGGTCCCTTAAATGAATGAATTAGCCTTCTATTTATAGAATTTTCCAAGGCCTAATTTTGAATATAATATTCCAGATGAAATAAGTCGTTTCTGCCAGGTGTTGACACGTGTCCTATTTGATGACTTTTCCAACTCATTTCAATTTTTGTTGAGTCACACGCTACATGTAAAATTTATGTAATACATGAGCGTTGAAACTTTGATTTATCGGTCAACATTTATTTACCGAAATTTCGATGTCTACAGCGTCCCAAACATTTCAATATTTGTCCAAATATTGTAATTAGATCTCAAAATGCTTAAAAATATTGACAAAATGATACTAAACTAATATTAATTTATATATATATATATATGTACAATTACCTGTGAGAATATCATATCGATCGATGCGAGAAGACTGTTGAGAATAATCAAGTAAGTAAAACTGATGTGAGGGAATGTGTAGATGAACACCTGATAACTTTTCAAAACAAAAAATTGTATTGAAGCACACTTGTGCATCATGGGGGACAATTTTGTAAGACGGTTTACAACAACTGGTCCAAAAGTGTGTGATCTCATAAACATGATTAGATTTAATCTTTGGAGCAACGTACTCGTAATCCATTTTGCAGAGGCTTGAATTGCATCTTTCTACATGATTAAAAATAAATTTAAAAAATTAGGAAGATAAATATGAACAGTACATCATTTAAAGTAAAAAAAATCATACAACAATTAATAAAATCATGACTTTGTAAGTGAAGTCAGAACGAAAAGACAGTCTAGCAACACTAATGTGTATGTAAGTGAGGTGCAAATTGTAACAAAACCTGATAAAACACCTTATTTGTGTAATAGGAGATAAGATGATAAATCAAGTAGACCTTCCAAATCCAATCCTATAAGTGAAGTGAGTGTGAAGAGATAGTCGAGCAACACTGGTGTAAAGTTATTTTGGTGATATGAGATCTGAAGAGAAATCTAGTAGGCATTCCTTCCTATCTAATTCAAACATTGGCAATGATGACCAGGAATATGTTTTTAAGACAGAGTGATTACATTTCTTATTTAGGTCAACATTATTAATAAATTCATGGATCATGGTATTATCAAAATTAAAAACCTAAAAAAGCAAAATTCTTACCATTTCATCAACCAATATACATTAAAGACCGCCAAACGTATTATCCTTTCCTATAACTTTAGGTCTCAAAATTCTGCATACACAGACTTTGATTTTCTTATTAGACTAAAAAGGTAATAAACTTCGGATATGATCTATCTTCATTCCACAACAAAACTGCAAGCAAATATACATGGGATTAGAATAGATGTGCATAAATGTATGAAAATTTATACAAAAACATTCTAGCAAAGAATAGGAACAGACATAATCTTTTTAGAACACTATAAATACAGATGATCTTAACAGAAGAATGCAAATTAACATGTTTTATCTAAACCATAGTCTTCTTCCTGTCATTATGTTTACTAACTCATACCATGTACAAAAACTAATCACTTAAGATATGCCCTGAAAAAAAAAAATCACACGCTTACTCACATAAAGCATCAAACTTTACTCAATCTGAAAATCCAAATCAGAAAAAAAAAAAAAAAAAAAAAAAAAAAAAAGTGAGGTGAGGTGATCTTTTACCAAGCACCCCCTCTTTGTGCCTTCAAAGGCAAGTGCCTCAACTTCAACTGCTAATTCCTCCAACCTCATACACGCTTGCTTATTACTGATTAACCATTGAAAGAAAAGCTTTGAGTTAAGTAGATGCCATTGTCTTCTTCCACTTCCTTAAAACAACCACAAACCTATGTCGATGTGGATTCAGGGAAAAAATATATTTCAAAATCTAATCATCAAAATTAGGACAAAACAACTAAAATTAAAAAAAAAAATTGAACCCTGGAAAGAGAATATTTTCTGAAAATCAAAATAACCCATATGAAAAAGTGAAAAGATTTGTTGAGGAAGATTAAGAGTTCAATCCATACCTTGAATACTTGATAGTGAAGTCGTGAGGGATAGGTGTGAGAGATTAGGTGTGAGAGATTGTGAAATTGAATTTTTTGACATATTTGCATAAAATACGTCAACTTGAGATATTGTCGGATGAATACATTTTGAATAGATGGACTAAATCTGCAAAATCTTCGGTTACAGTAGACAACTCTGGTGTGAAGATATATGTTGACAAATCCGTACTTGAAAGAAGTGGTACATTATTCCAACAATATTCGCATTTGATTGATAAAGTGATTCTAAATGATGAGGCAATTAAACTCTTTTGTGAGGCGATGGATATTGTGAATGAAAAGATTAAGCCATTAGTTGGTAGTAGCAATGAAAACGTGGAAACTTCTACAACCAAAGAAGATATGGAACATCCTGCAAAAAAAAAAGAATTGATAGTAGATGATGTTGGTTTTCTTGAACCTGATCCTATTAAGACCAAATGATCTGGAAAAAGACTTAAAATGGTTAATGGTAACCTTTGTCATGGGTGTGGGCAATATGGAGTTAATCATGACAAAAGAAATTGTCCGAAGCTCCACAATCGGTAAGAATACAAACTCCGCGTGTTTTTCTATGTATATCATGCAATTAATATATCAATAGTTGAAATGTGTTTATTGTTTTTGATGTAGAATGGCCACTGTGGACCAAAATGTTCCATGAAAGTGTTATTCATAACAAGTAACCCTTCCAGGATTATTTGTAGATATAATAACATTATTATTTTTAATCAACATTTTTATGATTTCCATTTTGGTTAACTACAAGATGATGAGCACTCAATATCTACAGGAAGCTAATCTCATTTTTTTGTTCCTGTGTTAATGGGGTTCCTCTGCTTTGTATAAGTTTATTCTATGAATTTGGAGGAATTGCATGAACTTGAAGGAATTCAAGTATTTTGTATGACTTTATTCTTAAATTTATATTTCAATGACAACGAACAATAGCATACCAACTTTGGAGGCAACTTGGAAGACATCAAATGCCTTTTTTGATTTCATGAATATCAATCCAATTCTTTTACAATGCTTCTCATACACAATGAAAAACAATACCAATTTACACAAATCGATAAGTAAAGACTTGAAAGGCTCCTGCTTGATCAAGCAGCAAGTGATTATTCATGAATAGTCCATATTCATAGTAAATACTTGAAGGGCTCTTGCAAAAAAAATGTGACAAGCAAAATCATTCGCGTTGTTTGATAGATAATTTTCTAGTGGGAAGAACACCAAAGGATCAACTATATCTAAGAAATATACTCAAAAGCAAATGGTAGCCTCAATAGAAAGCAAATGTTCAAACAAGTATTGCAAATGGCATGATTGGCAAGATATGGCATATACACAGTCAATTTAATAAGTAAAAGCAAATGGAAAACAATTTAATTAGTAATGAAAATGGCAACCTCAATAGCAAGTCCTTGCCAATTGGTGGCTTTCCCTGCAAAATCAAAACCCAAAAGGTTATAAGGTCCTAAGTTCATACTCTATTAATTTATTCCATTCAAATCTGTAAGCAAATTTGAATTAGAAATCAAAAGGTCTTTATCTTAAAACCTGAAAGAAAACACCAAATTTATGGACCCATTCAAATTTGTAACCAATTTGAATTAGAACTCAAAAGGCACTACAAAACTATGAACAAGTAGAGACCAATGCATTTGCACCTATTAATTAGAAATAAGGGGCAAAATTTGAGGATTTCCGCACCTAATAGTTAGGAGTGGCGGATATTGAAATTGCACCTAAAAAGAGTGTTGCTATTAATAAATAGGTGCAAATAAGCACTTATTTCCGCCCCTAATAGTTTTGTAGTATTAGGGGCGATTATTAAGGCCCCTACTTTATTATATATTTAATGCATTTATATTTATTATTATTGCATTTTGGGAATTATATTAATTAAAAACGTTTTTTAGGGTCAAATATGTTTACGATTATTATTATTTTCCCCCACCACCCTAGACGAAAAAATAAACTGTCAATAAAAAAAATTAATATTAAAATGATTCATACTTCATTGACTATATACCAATGGTACAAGTAACATGATGAAGTTTAAGCCTATTAGATACAAATGGTAGTCTAAACAAAATTTATATGTCTAATCAATCTTCTGCATCTCAAATACCGAAATGATGAAAAGTTAAAAGCATGTGTCTTCCATGATCCATCTTGTAGATACACCACAGAAGGTAAAAGCAAATTAGAGTAAAACTATTTTTAGAAAAAATAAGAACCGAAACATTCAAATTATGTAGATCTCACAACCATGAAAAGAAACGAACAAACTAAAACAATCAAATTATGTACCTACCATTCACAAAACATCAAGAAAATAAAACCTGCAAAACAAACAAATAATCAAACCTAAATTAAGTCAATAGGGGTTTATGATGTAATTTATCATTTTGATAACACGCCTAATATTATACAAAAATAAATTGAAAAAAAATATGTATGAAGAACACACCTAACTAATTTCACTTCCAAATTTTCACACGCAACCATCAAATTTACCTGCAAAACAACAGTTTGAGAGAAAAAAAACTTCAATCAAACTAAAAAAGTTTAGTTTTTTACTAAATAAGTTTAGTTTTTTTCTCTACTACAAACCTTTTTAAATCTCTCTTTTGATATATTAGACTCATCAAAAGGAATATTGAAAGGTAGAAAATTAAGAAAGAATAGAAATGAAGAGAAAACAATATAAAATCTAGAACAAAAAGTGAAGAAGGAGGATAAAAATATGAAGGAACAAGAAAAATGGAGATGAGAAGAAGAATATGAAGGAACAAGAAAAATGGAATGTGGTATGAAGAATCAACAAGTGGAGATGAGGAGTTTGTGCCGTGAAAGAAGATCAAGAGAGAAATATGGGGAATGTGTGTGTTGGTTATCCTAGAATTAAGGTTTTGATAAATGTCTTATTTATTTGATTAATAATTAAGAAAAACAAGTTAAATATAAGGAGATAAATGCTTCTAATGTAAATTATTAAATTAAAAAATAATTTAAGTTAAAAATATATATATTAGAGGCTCATTTATCTGCCACTAATAACTAAATTTTGTACATGTGGTTTTTTTTCGCCCCTAAAAGTGGTAACACTAATAGGGGCATTTATTGTTTGGCCCCTATTACAATTAATAGAGAAAAATCTATATTTGTACCCCTAATAAAGATTAATAGGGGCAAATCATTATATCCATCTCTAATCCACCACCCCTAATAATCACTATTCTTGTAGTGAGGTTTTTACCCTAAAACCCCGAAAGAAAACCACCAAATTTATGGACTCATTCGAAACTGAAACCATCCCAAATCAGAACGGAAATAGGTTTTTGGTGTTTAGAATTCGAAAAATATAAACCCTAATTGTTCAACCCAATATCCAATTTATTCACCTAAAATAGTGAAGGTCTGTGTAGCAAGGAAGAGGAGAGAACCATAAAATAAAAAGGAAATAGGGAAAAGAAAAAAAAAAGAAAAGGAAAAAAAGGATAAAGAAGATTTTAATCTCAACCATACAATTTTATTAAAGCTAATCCAACAGCCAAGAGGGTGCTCCCCATTTTTTTAGAAAAATGGGGATCCCTCTTGTTAAAGGATATATATATATATATATATATATATATATATATATATATATATATATATATATATATATATATATATATAGGAAGCCTTTAAGGGAAGGGATCCCCATTTTAAAAAAAAAATGAGCATTATTTGTGGGGTCCACACCACATCAAACTTTAACGATCCGAACCGTTTATTTTTCAAGTTACACCTCATAGATCATCCTTGCAAAATATTAGCCAAATCAGAAATATTTAAGACATCTAATTGGGTTAAAAAAAATTAATGAATACTTTGTTATATAAGAAACAATGAAATTTTATGTTGATAATTAAATAGGCAAATGGTTTTGGATTGAATTGAATTTTTTCAAGGATGATCTATAAATCGAGACTTACAAAATAAACGGTTCGAATCGTTGAAGTTCAATGTGGAATGGGCCCACAGCTAATCCCCATTTAAAAAATATTTTTAATTTATCTATTTTAATTCTGTTAATGTGATTTCTCGATTTTACCCTTATATTACTTTTAAAGTCTACAATCTTGAAAACCTCATTAAGTATGATGACATAAATATTTATAGGGAGTTGTAAAGACCTTCTGTGCTCTAGAAGCAAGTCGGCTTTACAATTGTTTACTTTGAGGTTTTCCAGTGGACCTTATGTGCAAAAGACTCTAAGGCCTACATAAGAATTAGAGTGTGATTATCATGAAAATGGAAACATGCTTCAGGTTTATGTGACTAACACAACCATTCTGAACACACACACACACACACACACACACACACACACACATATATATATATATATATAGCTAAGCTGTTGAAATCCATACAGAGAATTTGGACATGATCGAGAACGATTCAATGGAACTCTCTTTTTTTGTTTGGATGTTATGTTTAGTTCTTGTGAGTTGTTTAATTTTTCCATGGTTAAAATTTCAGAAAGGAAAAAACTTGAGATTATTTCTCATTGTGATGTTCAAGATACGAACTATGACACCACAAACTACTATGTTGTATTTTAGAAAGATTACTTGTTGCCTTCGCTTAGCAACAATTTTATTTTGTATAATTTTTTTTTGTTTCTGTATCAAATCTACCATAAACAATGAGCCTACTTACACCTTCCCACTCATTTTTTGTTCTTCATTGTTTTCGCGGGAAATTAAGTGTTGGAGTTTTTTTCCATTGGGTTGATGGCTGCTGCTTTGGATTTTACTTACATTGATTGTTATTTGTTATGCGATTTGAAATTCAAATTATATTTTATCATATTTTGTTTCCTTTTGATATTTTTCAAGGATCTGTTTGGGATTCTAGTAATAGTGTCAGATTTTGGAAATTGTTCTCTCTTTTGTGTAGAACTTCAAATCTGGGGTCATTGTTTCTGATTTAATTTGTATCAATTTTTTTCATTATTGGAGCAAATCTAGAAAAAATAAACAAATCTACCAGAAATCCCTCCAATTTTGTTTTGTAAGCAAAATCAATTTCAAATGAAAGATTAGTAAGGCTTTCAAGAAAAGAAAAACATGCTCAAAATCTACAATTTATTTAAGTCATCAAAATTATACTTAATGAGGTTTTCAAAATTTTGTGCACATTAAAAACAATATAAAGGCAAAATCGGAAATCACATTAAAAGAATTAAAATAGATAAGTTAAAAATATAGAAGAAGTGTGGATTGAGATTTTAGGAGTGTTAATAACAGCTTCCTATTTATATATATATATATATATATATATATATATATATATATAAACATGGGTATATTCATGAAAATTAACTAAAAATTATAGTACCATAAAACGTTTGGTAGTTTCTTCAAACCCGAACCATGGGTATATTCTTCAAAACCACAAAAAAAAAATAGAATTAAGGTTAATAACACTAGTAAATTTCTTCTAATAAACTTGACATGGATACTGTGGATGCAAATTTCCGCCTTCTTCTTCTTGGACGAAAATGCACCTGCAAAATCAAGGCCAAGAGTCTCACGCGCCCACAATGATTTTTTTTTGGGGGGGGGGGGGGCGGGCTTTGGCCGAACAACCTCCGATGCTAAAGTTAGAATTTGAGGGAAAAGTGTTTAGAGAAATTGGAGAATTTTAGAAGTGAATTGGACTATATTTTTTGGAGAAATAAGGGCTATTTATAGGGGTATGGCTGGCCCTCTTTGGAGAAAATGGGTCCAGCCACTTTTGGTGGTTTGGCTCTAATTGCAAGATATTATGTCAAAATAATATTTTGAAATCAATTAGAAAATTAATCAATTAATTTTGGTAATCAATCCTAATTTGAAAGAATAATTGGGAGTTACCTTGTGGGGAGGATATAATGAGGATTGATGAATTAGGTTTTGAATAAATACCTATTTTGATCACCTTTGACCTTGATTGAGCCATTATTGTCCGCTGCTTGCGCGTGGGAGTTCCGGTGTGTCTTGAGTATAATTTTGTCTTTTTACCCAAAAATCCACATGTCACCTCCATATTTTTCTTGACTATTTTTTGCTTCTCAAATTGGTGAAAAAGAATGTACCCATATAAGTTTTAAAAAATTGGCACGTTTTACATATAATAAATTGGTACATCTGAATATGTGTACATTTAAAAATTTTAAAAAAATTGGGTAAATTACATAAAATTACCTCAACTAAGGGTTGCACCACAATTTCATACCTCATGTTTTAAACATTGCAATGTCATACCTCAATTTATGAATTCGTTGCCATGTTAGACCTCCGTTAGTGATTCCGTCAAATTGGCTGTTAAGTGATGATTTGGCAAATAGAGGGTCCATATATTTGTTGACGTGGCAGTCCACTTGTGCCATTCAAATTATTTTTTTTATTTAAAATAATACATTTTTATGTCCAAATTAAATACAAAAGAGTGGGCCTCTCAGTTTAAACCAAACTCTGAATTCAAACCTGAAACCAAACCCTAAATTCAAACCCTTCTTCTCTCCTACTCCCACTCTCGGATTCAAAACCAAATCCAATACAACCCAATCCCTACTCTCCCTTAAACCCTCAACAACACTCTCACCACAAACCCCCAATTCCTAATCCCCCAAAACTCATCTCAGCCCCCATCACCCCTAACCCACCTCTCAACTTGCACCCTCACCACCCTCTTTGCCCTTTTCGGTCTTGAAATTGATTGCAGAGAGAAAATTGATTATATAATAGGTAGAGAATCAGGCTTAATTTTTTTTTATTAAGCTCAAGAGGAAGCTTTAACTTTGTGGAAATAGAGGAAATTCAATTAAGCTCACGAATGTATTGAAAAGCTCGACGGCCACGGAGAAGGCCAGCGGTGGAATCGGAATCGGAATCGGAATCGAAGAGCCGCATTTCAACAAAGACGACAACCCCGTTTCCAAAGAAAATAAAAAAGAATGCACTAGTCCTTCACTTCAATTAAGCAATGAAAATCCCCAAATTTTAGAGGTTTTATACTCGCAGAGAATTGTAGAAACATGCAGCTACAAAATGAAAATTAGAAGTGCAGAAGCATATATCAAATCAACAAGCACTAGTTGTCTTGACAATTGATGCCAAATATCAATTACAGAGAATTCTTTCGAACAAGAAGATGAGCTTTTTGAACAAGAATATGAGCTTTAGAGAAGGTGGTGCCATGGGAAGTGGATGGGTAAGAGATGGTAGGCTACCGGCAAATAATTGGATGGTTGGATTTTTTTTGTTTCCTCACCTTAATTCAAATAGGGGTAAAAGAGGAAGTTCACATGACAAACTTAAATGTGGGGTGTCTTCGTAAGATTGTGGGGTGTTAATAGAATTACCCTAATAATAATAATAATAATAAATAAATAAATAAATAGCTCGAGACCTAGCAATCCGAATAAAAGATATAAAACTATTGAGAATGAATTTCACATATATGGAAGAAAGGATCTTGCATAGACATATATATAAGGATTTAAGCTACTTTCTATATTGCCAATTAGTTTCATAATGGAATCTTAAACCTTTATTTTTTTTTTTTTTTGGCTAAAGGAGATGCCGTATTGAAGCTAAAAAAATGAAAGATTCACTAACATGCAATTGAAGAACTTTGGTAAGTACTTTTTGCAGACATAAAGCTCCAAGTAATGTCACTGAAAG